ATACAGAGACAGAAATAAACAATCCCAAATGATATCATAAAAGAAAACAGATATTCAGAAAAGGAAATAACTATCCACATCAGAAATCAAGAGACCCTCCTACAGACAATGTATGTTCACAGGCTGAATGCAGATGCCATTTCCTGTACAAAGGATTTAATTTATAACAAAAGCACTATGTTCGCAAGTGTAAATCAAAATAACTAACTGTTCAAAGTGTGTGTGTGTGTGTGTGTGTAGGGGGGCAGTCCCTAGGCTAAGACTTCAATGACTACATATTTAAGTACAGCACTCTACATCTGTACGACTCCTCAACATAAAATGAAAATCCTAATCGCAAAAAGATGATTATATCTGGAAGATGCTAATATATTGTGATGGAATATTCTGAGGAATCACATTATTTTATTACCTAAATCCTCTTGGTCAGACTGTTCTTGACAGCTAGTGTGTCCTGACATAGAGAAGGAGAAAGCCTCCTGGCTAATTACATGCAAGTTTACTGAAGAACCCACCTCCTACCTTCAATGATGTGCAGCCAAGGTTAAGAGCTAAGATCAAGAATTCTTACTGCCTTCTGCCCAGTTTCTGCTCTTGAACTTATTTAAGGACTCCTAGATCCAAGAACTGCTTTAACCTAGAAATCCCTAAAAGAACAGAATACAGCTGGGGTATATAGCCCTGTGATGGAGTGCTTGCCTAGCAGGCATGAGGTCCTCAGTTTCATCCCCAGCATTGCAAAAAAACAAACACAAACCAAGACAAAAGTAACAGAAAAATAGCTATTCCTCATCAATTCTCATTTTTACTTTTCCTGAAACAAATAATTTACATGCTAAGTTTGCTCTTTTCTGTATTGAGTACATCATTTTGATTAAGTAACCCTATTTTAATTATCTATGGGTATAATGTTCAATTTTTCTTACTTTTTAAAATAATTTCACTGTTAACTCTGGAGTCCTGAATTAATTTAACTTTTTCTAATATTAAAATTCTTTTTTTTTTTTCTTTTTACTGGTACTGGGGATTGAACCCAGGGCCTTATGCATGTAAGGCAAGGACTTTACCAGCTGAGCTATATCCCCAGTTCCTATTATTGAAATTTTTAATGTTTATTTATTCTATTTATTTTCTTTTAAAAACTAATTTTATATTATTTTCTATTCTTAAATATTTATCTTTTTAATTCTTGTTTCTTATAGTAACTATTTTCTCATTTATCTTTCTCAATATTATTTTGAATATTTTTCTTTCTTTCTACACTACAGTTAAATTTTATAATCCTCTTCACTCATTTATCAGCCTCCTTTCTCTTTTTATTCTTCTCAGCCTAAAAAGAAAGAAGTTCAGTCTCCTCAGTTTATAGAGGCAGGTAGGAATCCCAGTTAAACATAAGACAGCTGCAGGAAAACCACCACCACCACAGGGAAGAGCTGTTCTGGGCAGTTCTCCTCCAACTCCCTCACATCTTTTTCCAATTCTCCAAATTACGTTTCTAAAATTTTCAATGAAGACAAGTAAAGTTCCTATACTGTAAATTCTTTTAAATTTTAAAAATATCTAAATACATTTTGATTCAAGGGGCAATTTCCCTGAAAATTAGGGTGATATTAATTTAACTTTCTCCCTTAAAAATACATTATTATCTCTTCTCAGAGTCTCATAAATCAAATTTGAGGTTCTGAAATGAGTTATTCATAAATATAATGACAATAAGCTACTTGAGAACTAAGCTATTTAGCAAGATGGAAACTTTACTTTTTAAATACTTTTATTTCCTTAAATGTAGTCTCAAAGAGCTTATGCTAAAAACAAAAAATTAACTGACTTTAACCTGGTATGTACTGAGATATGCTGATATGATAAACAGGAGTTGGGTAGGACTTTATTTCAATTTGTGTTTTACAGCAATTAATCCATTATTAAAGGAAAGGAGCAGACAAAAGAACAGGTAGGTGAGCACAAGTAACGGTATAAATGTGTAAAATGTCCCTGACTTTTGGTCCTGGGAAAACAAATATATCACAAAATAAAGAGGCAACAAAAGCAATAATTGTGAGGGGAAAATAGAGAGAAATCTAGTGGTTTATTCTCCTACAGGCAAAGGTGTTTTATAGTAATTGAAAAATGATG